CAGGGGCTGATTGTGGGGTGAAGCAGGACAAAGGCGATCCAGGGTGGGGGGCAGGACGAGCCAGGCAGACCCCACACCACACCAGCGAGATCAATTTTGTCCAGGTGGCCCCCGGGGCCACTCCCACTGCCATCATTCTCTCCCACGGCTCCGCCAGCCACCAATGGGTGGAGACCCCACTCCTGTTTCCAATGGGGGGACAACACCGGACGCGGCGGAGGAGGAAACAGCGGGGGGCCGGGGGTGCTCACCCAGGCAAGAGGTGGAGTCCACACTATTACCATTCTCGATGTTGTTAGGGCCAAGTCTTTCACTGTCTTCGGATAGTCCTGCAGGGTTGAAGACAGCCGCCGTGCTCTTAGGAGGGTGGGGGGAGGGTCCTGGGAGCGGCCCCCTCGAAGGGAGCCCCCACCCTCAGCAGGCCAGGCCGGGCCAGCTTTGGGTGACCGCAAAGGCCAGGTGAGGTCAGCTCCGGGGAGCTCGGGGGGCGCAGGAGGTGGGGAGCAGGAGATGCGGAGGATGACAGAGGCTCCGGAAAAGTGACTCTTGTATGAATGACGCCCTCCAACGAATGATGCCACGGGTCAGGCTGAGGGCTGGCTCTGGGCTCCGTGACTGTGACTCTGGCTCTCAAACGCCCTTGAGAGACCTGCCTCCCCCGAGCTCAAGAGCAGCACACAGACCCTGGCTGGTGGCCTAGAGGGGCGGGCGAAGCCCCCTGCAGGGAGCGGGGGCTGCGGTCCGGCACACGCCCGCCAGGACCCCCGTTATTTCAAGGGAACGCCTGTTCCAGCGCTGCGGGCAGCAGAGGCATGGCACATGGCCATGTGTCCTTGCCTCGCCCTTGGGGCGCCCCTGGATTGACTCACTGCAGCCCCGTCACCTCCGTCAGAGATGAGCACAAGTGCCTGTATTGATCAGGAGGGTCTTAATGGCTCCCTGAGATCATTTTTAAGCTTCGGCCGTCAAAGACTCCACCCGAGAGAGGTAATTACAATCGCTCTCCCCGAAAGTGGCCCTGGCAAGTTGACCTGTGGGAAAGGGGGCAAGAGGGCTGGGCCGTAGGGAGGGGGGCGGAGCCCAGCACCCAGTTCTGCTCCCAGAAGGCCGAGCATCCCCAGCCACACACAGGGTCCAGAGGAGTCTCTCGTCTGGCCCAGGGCACTCAGCGCAGCTGCTCCCCCACAAACTCAGTGTCCAACCCCTAGCAGGGGCTCCCCGCAGAGATGGCGGGGCGCTGCCGTGTCCCACGGACCCTCCGTACCTAGAAGTCTGAGAGACCGGGCCTGCAGGTAAGCGGGGACATAGCTCCCGGGGCTGGCTCAGGGTTGCAGCCAAGGCCCTGGTCCCCGTGTCTAACTGTACCTAAGGCTGGAAGAGTGGCCATTGCCCAGGCTTCTCACTGCACACACACACACACACACACACACACACACACACACACACACAGAGGCACACGCGTGTGCACACATGTGTCAAACTGTGCACACGTGTGTCCACGTGCACAACATCAACACACATGTACCCATGCAATGTGCATGCACCAGCATGTCCACATGCACAAACACAGGCAGAAGCATGCCCACATGCGTGTGCGCAGACACAGATACACATGCACAGAGGCGCGCGCGCGCACGCGCACACACACACACACACACACACACACACACACACGCTCTGCCCCCACCCCTCCCCTCCGAGGGCCTTCAGGATTCAGTCACTCCAAGCAGATGGGGAGTGGGCTGTCGCCAAGAGAGGGGAAGCTGCTCGCGGCAACATTTCGGGGTGAGGGGGAGCGCCCCGCCTCCACGGCAGCTGAGCTGGGGCTCGAGATGACCCTGAACCAGACAATGAGCCTCCTGTCCCTGCACGCAGATGGGAGCCGCTTCCCCTGAGCACAGGGCGGGGACCGAGAGGAAATGAGACAGTACAAGGCGGCTGCTTCTCCCTCCTTGGCGGGGTGCCTGGGGGACCGGCAGTGGAAGCATCTGGAAGTGCAGGGTTGGCTCTGGCATCCCCAGGGACGACCAACTGACCTCCTGGCAACAGGTTGAGAGGTCACTTCGGAGATTACCCTCCTGGCAGGCTGAGTTCCCCGCCCCCGACCCTGGCTCCTCCAGGGGGATCTGGGGTTCGACCCTGGGGAGCGGAGGGGTTCTGGGGTTACCCTGAGAGAAGGCCTGGGGGTGGGGTGGTGGAGAACCAGAGTCCAGCTGCGTCCCTGGGTGGGCTCCCGTGCCCCCCGCTGTTACTCCAGCCCCAGCCAACCACCCGCTCCCCAGTGGGCTCCTGCCTCTCATGGCTCCTGCAGCCACGCCCTCGGCACGGCGTTTGGGGGCCAGAAGACCCGGCACCCCCCTTTCTCTCCGCCAGGCTAAATATAGCCCGGCACATCGAAAACGGAACACAGTGGGGAGGGAAGCTGCCAATAGGGCAGGGACTCGGGAGAGGGGGCTGGGGGGAACGGCTGGGGGCGGGGGCTGCCTGACTCTTCCCAGCCGTCTCTGCTCAAAGGTCGCGTGATGCCCCCGGGATAATTTGGGGGCTCTCCCTGGAAGGAGCCTGGGGCCCTGGAACCTGCAGATGGTGAAGACAGGGAGGTGTAGGGCTGGGGCGAGGGCTGCCCTGGTGGGGGCTTCTCGGCCAGGCCAGCGGCTCTCTCCAGGAATTGGAGCGCCTCTTCCCTAGACAGCCTGTGGGACCTTGTCAGCTCGGAGTGAGGTGACCACTCCCTGAGCCCCGAGCCCAGCTTGGATGTGTGTGTGTGGGGACAGAGGGCAGAGTGGACCCCCCACACCCCCAGCCCGTGCGGGAGATGAAAGGTCTCTGTGTCCCCTCGATGCAGTTTTCTGAATCTCGGCCTGTGTCCATCAACAGCCCCCAAAGTAAAAAGGAAACGGACAGGAAGATTCTGGGGGCTGCTTGGAGCAAGGACTAGAAGGGGAGGGGGCAGACACGGCATTGCCCCTCTGCCACGACCCCCTAGACGCAGGTTTGGGGTAGGGGACGTGGCTTCCGGTCTAGAGGCAGTTCTCAGTGCAGGGGGCAGGTATTCAGACAGGGCCGAGGGTGGGGTTCCAGGGATTTGCATGCGGGTGTTTGATCCAGGACGTGGGCCCCCAGAACCAAGCCCCAGTGAGTGCTGTGGCCCCAAGACTCAGTTACAGGTTTCCCTCGGCCCAGGCAGTTCCATCTCAAAAGGTGAGATTTTCTGTCTCTCAGGGGGAGCCCGGGAGACACAGTCCTTCCTGCCGCATGGAGAAGGGGAGGGAACGGGCCTTGGCCCACAGGAATATTCTGTCGACAGTCATTTTCTGGGAGGGGGTTAGAGGCCACCTTGGTGGGGCTCAGGGCTTACTCCTGTCTCTGTGCTCAGGGATCTCTCCTGATGGGACTCAGGGGACCCCATGGGATTCCAAAGGATTAAACATGGGTTGATCGAAGTTGGTCAGGCACGCACCTCTGCAGTAAGTACTATCTCTCCTACCCCTCTAGGGCCACTTAGAAGAGATTCTCACCAAGCTCAGAAGAGACACCAAGTCAATGAAACCCCCAAGTACACTGGTCTTTAGGCTGAAAGCTCAGGGGTCTTCTTGGGATGGGGTCAGGCTGAGTCGCCAAGCCGTGAAACCCCAGAAACCACACCAATACCCCACGGCCTCGGGCATATCACAGCCCAGCTTCACAACATCACAACTAAGACACCAGGAAAAGACCCCACGCCAGAGAACGGCCCAAGTCCCATAGCTCCTGGTGGTGGCGGCCACATACACAGCCGCAGGGTTCCTGCAAACCCCACACAAATTAGACGGGAGAGTGGCACAGAAACCCACTCACCTCCGTGAGCAAAACACAGTCACACAGAAGGCAAAACTCCGTAAATCCTCAAATAATGACTTTAGTAACCCCATTGTGAGATATAACAATTTTCATAAATTTTCTCTTACAGGATGCTTTTCTGGGATAATTCCTTTTGCTACTTTATTGTGACAAATAATACAGAATAAATTATTATGTGCCTGCTAAGAGTGCCGGCGTTGGGGTGGGTGGTGGAGGGAAGGTCACACTGGTGATGGGATTTGTGTGGCAACACTGGGTACCCAAAGCAGCTGTGTTATGCGCAACTTTGTAAATCATGATGTTTAAATGAGGTTAGAAAAAGAGTAAATAAACGATGGCTCCCTCTGAGTTCCTCTGAGTTGACCCCCACTGTCGGAGAAGCATCAGAACCAATGACCTTACTCAAAGGGTCCTGCAGTCACTGGCTGCTGATGTCACAGGGTGGAGGGCAGATGCCTCGACTGCCCTGTCCACCAACTCCCTCACTCCTGAGCACAGAGCGGGAAGACAGTGCATAAGATAAAAATGAGTCCCGCGCTGGGACTTCACACCAGTGCAGACTCATTTTTATCAGCTTCCTTCTGGGATGAGAAAGCTCCTGTCCTATTTGTCAGTAGCATTTACGGATTCCTGTGCCCACACAAATATCTATCCCAGCACCAAAAGCTGGTCCTATTTGCCAGTGGTGAGTGTCACCTGACCACAGAGGGGTCAAAGGGAGGATCCGCCATGGGGAATGGGGGGAAAGGCACAGGAATGGAGGAAGAAGGGCCAACCAGAGAGGGCGGATACCACCGTTGGTTATTAATCAACCACAATCCATGCACAAAATCAGCAGACCGGCAACGAGAGGCAGCCCACTCCTTGCACAAGACTCGTTCAATCTTGTTTTGCTAAATGCCTAACAGGGATCAACCTTTTCTCCCCGTAACCTGCATCCTTGAAAAACAGACCCCAAGCGGAAGTCATTTTCTTTTGGGGAGGGAAGGCGCCTGGACTTTAGACACGACGGAACCTCAAGATCACAACAATGCTTGAACCTTGTCCAAGTCTTCACCTGAGAGGTCTGGAGGCCCCCAGGGGAACTCCCGGGTCTTCTGACCCCGAGGCAGGATGCCCTGTGGGAATGTGAAGTGCACGGAGGGGGGAAGTCGGTTTACCTTGAACGTGGTGGCAGACTCGGGATTGGCGATAACCAGAGGCGAGATGAGAATCATGCCGGCAAATTGGCTGGGCCTCTCGGCGGCCGTGAGGATGGAGATGGCGCCTCCCTGCAGGATGAGAGGGCCAGAGTGACACTGGGACCTTGCCCGGGACCAGCTTTGGGGGTGCAGCACCCGTTCCCGCCTCGGAGCCCCAAGCACGGTCCTGGCAAGGTGCCCCGAGGAGCCCTACCTTGGAACAGACACCATCGAATGCTGCTAAACCGGATCTACAATTATTTTATCATACACACACATCCCCCCTCCCCCCACCCTCCGGGGTTTCCGAGAGCAAACATTTCAGAGAGATATAAATAAGGTTCCTGCCGTGGGCTGCAAGTTAAACAATAACACATTCCTACTCTTCATTTCCAGCCCCAAGCTGGCACATCCCCAAGTCATCCGCTGTGTCGGGCTTAATATGAGACTTTTTTTTAATAGTTTTGGGTAATCGGATCACAAGAGGTTGTCACACATTCTTCGCCCCTCAGCTCCGGTTCAGTCGGAGGGCCCAGGAATTTAGGTGCTGAGAGCAAAAGGGGGGAGGGGGAGGTGGACGGCAGCTGGCATGGGGCCCGGGGCGAAGGTGGCAGCGGATGGAACCAAGAGTGGAAATTGGGAACGTGCTGGCAGATGGGGTGAAGAGAGCAGAAACCCGGGGAAATGTTCCCCAGACCCAACCCTCAAAATTCTCTCCCAGACTGCAGTAGGAAGGGGGCCAGAGGGCAGGGAGTTGAACAGTGACATTTGGCGGTTCTCAGGGCCCCTTATCCTGGAGCTTTCCTGGAGTCCCTAGGCCCACGTGGCTGTTGGGGACACACACAAGTGGAGTTGGGGACATAGCCTCGTCCTGCCCACTCTGGCACTGCTCTCTCTGGCCAGAGGGTCTGCAAGGGCAGGAGAGTGCTTGGGGGTGGCACAGCGGAAGCATCAAGGGCGGGGAGGTGGGCACCTTGCTGACCTCAGGGGTCTCTGTGGGAAGGGAAGGGGTACCATGCTGAGCACCCTCCAGGGGCCTGAACTACTAGGTGCTAACTTGCCTGGAAACTCAAGGCAGGGAAGTGGGGCGGGGGGTGGGGCAGGCCCACTCCTGTGCCCACAGAGGCTCCACCCCTCCCACCCCCACCAGGCTGGTCTCTGGGGCACGACTTACCATGGAGTGGCCCAGCAGGAAGACGGGCAGCCCTGGGTGGTCCTTCAGCATCAAGTCCACGTGCTGCAGCACGTCCCGGATGAAGACGTGGAAGTCAGACACCACCATCCTCTCCCCTTCACTCTGCCCGTGGCCGACTGCAAGGGAAAGGGAACCAGTCACCAGGGGGTTGCCGCCGGCCATGCTGTGGGGTCCCAAGTCATTGTCACAAGCCACTCAGCTGTGACCCCTCTTTCTGATCAACCCCCCGTTGACCCCCTCCCCACATCTCCACCCCCCCATCCCTACACACACACACACACACACACACACACACACACACACACACACACCCAGTTACAGATCATGGAGCCTGCAGGTGAAGGTGAGTTACATAGCCAGGAAGGGAGAGAAAAGAAAATATGGTCTCTGAGCACAGGGCCATGAAGGAGGCATGCGGCCATGAAGGGGGCATGCGGCCATGAAGGAGGCATTCGGCCATCAAGGAGGCATGTGGCCATGAAGGAGGCCAGCATAAACACAGACACTCACTGAGAAAGAGAGAGACAGAGACAGACAGAGACAGAAAGACAGAGAGAGAGACAGAGGCACTAAACAAGCTGCCCTTCAGCATGTGGCTGGAGTAAGAGGGATCAGGCATGGGGTCTTCATGGCTCTTCTGGGGAGCCTTGGGCCGGGTCAAAACCCCACAGCTCACAGCTTTCAGTGGCTTCCACAGGACAAACCGAATGAAAGCAAATGGCGACTGTAAAGGGTCTCCACGGGACGGTAGTGAAACAGGGCACCTCCTCTCCCCTGGCGTCTCTATTCTGCCACCAGCTCTGCTGTTCTGTCCCTCGTCCTTGTCTGGGGGTCTTTGCGTTACCCATCTCTCTGAAGGACACCGGTCGCTATAGAAACGACCGTGTGCAGAGCAGCTGACGTGTCTGAAAAGCGCAGATGTGAAAGGTGCTCCCAAGCCCGACACTGCGTCAAGTGGGGGGACATGCCTCCCGCATTCCTCTGGGGGGGCTGGAGATAAAGCAACCCCCCCCCACTGCACAGACAGGAAGGGTACACTCGCCTGCGCCTGCAGACCTCAGACTCTAAAATCCTCAGCACCCCCAACCGCTCCCTGCCTGTCTGGTCCCCCATGTGTCCCCACCCCCTGCTGGCAGTCCTCTGACCTGGACCCACCCCTCTGACCCTCCACCTGCCTCACGAGCTCCATCACCAGCTCACTCACAGTCTCCCACCCCCCTTGGAGGAACATTTTCCTGTTTAAATAAGTATGTTTGTTTGTTTGTTTGTTTGGGGTGCCTGCTGGCTCGGTGCTCAAGGATCGCTCCTGGTGGGCTCAGGGGACCCAATGCCGTGCTGGGGGTTAAACAGGGTTGGACATGTGCAAGGCAAGCACCCTACCCGCTGTCCTATCTCTCTGGCCCAAGTTTTAAAAATTGTGACGAAACATTGGATGAAAGTTCTCCTCTGAACCAGATTTTCAAGTGTCCAGCTCAGCAGTATTAAACGAGCACAAAGCAAGTGACCAGGGCCACCGCCGACCACCACCGACGTCTCCTCCCCCAGCTGAAGCTCCACTACTGAGAGGTGGATCAAGACCCCCCTCCCCAAACTATATAATAAATGTACAAGTTACCGTGTTGTCACATGGGGAAAGCCCGCCAAGTCTGATGTCCAGAGAAGGGGGACGAGACCCTTCACACAGGACACATACCCCAGACAACACGAGCTACAATGGCCCCTTTCCACGCTAATAACAACTCTGATGACCAACTATAACTCTCCAGATCAACAATAGCTCCCGAATGTCACCTAACACTTGGCCCGAATTCAAATTTCCCAACTGTGTCTGAGTATTTGATAGCTGGATTTTTAAAAAAAATAAGAACCAGGGTACCTAGATTACACATTGTATTAGGTTATGTTTTGTTTGTTTGAATCTAGACTATTCCCCCCACTTTGTGGGGGGAAAATCTATTTTTTTTCTCATGTCATCCTGACACCCTACTTTGAAGAAAATTAGACCAAATAGGAAGGCTTAAGTTCGTTTTTTTTTGTTTTGTTTTGTTTTGTTTTGTTTTCTGGGGATTTAACTCAGGGTTTCACACATGCAGGGCGAATGAATGCTCAGCCCCTGAGCCACCCATGCGGCCCAGAGTCCCATACCTGTATCCGTCTGCTCCTTGGGTCCCTCACCTACCAGGTGCTTCTTGCCTTCTTGCACGTGTCACTTCTGTCCCCTCATATTGCCCCCACCCCAGGGCTAAACTTCAAGAGCCCATTTTTTTTTTCCAATGTGGATTTTAAGTTTATTTGGCAGGGGTAGGTTGAGGCTGCATTCAGCAGCACTCGGGAGCTAGTCCCTACTCTGTGTTCCGGAGTGACCCCTGGTAGGGATTGGGGGACCCATATGTGGTGCTGGGACTCAAACTGGGGTGGCCGTCTGCAAGGCAAGTGCGTTAATCGCTGGACAGTCTCTCTGGTCCTTCGAATGGTGTTGAGAATAAAGACTAAGGGCCAGAGACATCGCGCAGGGGGAAGGCACTTGCCTTGCGTGTGGCTGACCCTGGTGTGACCCCCGGTACTGCAAATGGTCCCTAGAGAACTGCCAGGAATGATTTGAGTACAGAGGCAGGAGCAAGCCTGAGCACTGCTGGTACGCCCCCCCCACCAATCGAAAAACAAAATAAAGGTTTATGGATTGGAAGATAGTACAGCGATTATGATGCATGCCTAGAATGTGCCTAACTTGGGTTCAATCTTTGGTACCACATGGTCCTGGGTACGGCCTTGAGATCCTGAGTATTTCTGAGGTGGCCCAGATGATCCCCAAAATAAAAGTCCTAAGTGGCATCAAGTCCTCAGCCCCCTGCCTGAACCTACACACTGCTTGGGAGACACCCCAGAATGAGCAAGAAAAAATAAAAACATCAAGATTTAAGTGCTGGGATCCTCAGTTTCTGTGCCACTGCTTCTATGCCTTCCGGTGGCACGGTGATAGAGTGTGAGGGGTGACTGACGGTGCCCGCAGACGTGCTGTGAGCGATTAGTGATGTCTGCCATGGACCTGAGAGGCCTCCCGGCAGCTGCCTTGTGCCACCTCCAGGTGCCCCACCTTGCGCTTGCCCAGGCCCGGCTGGGAGTCAGAGCTTGCTAAATGTCCATTGAAATGAATCGCAGGCAACGTTTTCACAACGGCCACTCCTCAGTGGGTCTGCTTGGGACTCGCGCCCTGGCGGGTGATGACATTCTCCTTTTTGCACCACGGACATCACACAGAGCAACAGATCTGCACATGGAATCATCTTCCTCACCCTCCTCCTCCTCCTTCTCCTCCTCCTGTTCCTCCTCCTCCCCTTTCTCCTTCTCCTCCTCCTCCTCCTTTCATCGTGAAAGAGAGAACTTATGCCACAGACCTTAGTTCTACAAGTTCCAGTTGGTTCCGATTCCACTAGGTGCTAGGTTTTCACTCTGTATTTCGATGCTTCACATTTAGTTAAAGTAAACACCGCAGAGACACCCTTGAGGGTCGCTACTTTTCAGAGCTAGGACAGGGCTGAGAGTTCGTCCTTCATATGCAAACCCACCCGTGCCCACCCTCCTGGGGTCCCTCACATGGAGTCATTCCCCATGCCCTTTCTGCCTCCAGACCAGAGACCAGACGACTGACCGGAAACAGTCTGACTGCCCCAGAGCCCACTGGGGGGCAGATGGAGCCTGTCCTAAGAGCACTTTCCCGACTCCCTTCTTCTCCCATCGTAACCACAGCTGGCGTCCAGCCTCACAGGTCCCCTGTGCCTTTTGCCTGTCGTCTACCCCCGGAGCTTCTCCGTGTGGCCCTGCCTGGTGCACCCCGACACCCGTTTCAAGGACTCCGGGGCACAAGGTCCACCCATCCTGGTAGCCACTTTGTGGTCATTTTCCAAGACAGTGTATAAGTACCCCTGGTTAAAAAACGAAGCCCAGTTTCAGACACCCCTGAAGGTGACAGGCTTGGTGCAAAATAAGTGTGGGTTGATTCTTAGTGCAATGATTAGACGGTCCCCAGTCCCTTTGTCTGCTATCAAATGCTTCTGCCTGAGAAGAACTTTCTAGGCCACCAACCAGCACGTGCAGGACATAAAGTGATTACAGGAAGTGTCCAGAAAACCGAGGAGGCTGTTAATGACAGCAGTTTCTTAGCATTCATTTTCTTACAGAAGGAAAAGCGGGGACTGGAGTGATAGTACAGTGGGCAGGGCGTTGGCCTTGCACACAACCGACCCGGGTTCAATCCCTGGCATCCCATATGGTCCCCGAGCACTGGCAGGAGTGATTCCTGAGTGCAGAGCCAGAAGTAACCCCTGTGAATTGCCGGGAGTGACCCAAAAAGCCAAAAATAAATAAAGTTTAAAAAAAAAGAAGGAAAAGCACAGGTGGAAACATCCCGGAGTAAGGAAAGAGGGCTCCACGGAGCAGCATTCTAACACCAGGTCACGCAGAACAGCTGGGCATCTCCGAGGCCCCTAGCTCAGACTCTGACGGACCCTCACAGCTCTGGACTCGGGATTCTCTGCCTCATTTTCTGGCTGAGAGAACAGAGCCGTGGGGAGCCTGGACAGAGCTTGGGGCTGGTCACTCCATAGGCTGTGCCTCGCTTACAGCTCAGGATAACTGCTGTCCGGTTGGTCGAGAAACCCCGGTGGGCCCCAGACCACTCAGATGGGGCTGGGATGATAGTCCAGCAGGTGAGGCGCTTGTCTTGCACACGGGCAACCCAGGTTTGAGCCCCATCACCCCAAAGGGCCCCTCCAGGGATCAGGAATGGTCTCTGATTGCTGAGTCAGGAGTACGTCCTGAGTCCAACTGGGTGTCAGAACCCCCCATCCCCGCCCCCCACCTCCAATACATACAAAAGGAAAACAGAAAAGAAACAGGCTTCAAGATCCCCTGAGAAATCAGATCCTAAGCTTGGCTGAGATGGAGCCCCCTGGGGCTCTGAGGTGTGGACTTGGCTTCTGGGGAGAGGGTTAAAGTGTGGGGGTGGGAGGGGGTGATGACTGAGCCAAGAAGGACTTGGGGGTCCAGTCCAGGCCCAGGCCTGCCGCCTCCCAGGCCTTCTTTCAGGGCCTGTGAACACAGTGCTGGGAGGTCAGAT